CAGGCCGTGGATAATGGATGGGAGTGGCTGGTGCTGTCAGCGGAAGTTGATGCAGTACTGCCCTCGCTGGCCTCCTTCGTTCAGGAAGTCATGAATGCAGCCCAAGGAGTTGCAAGAACGGCAGGCGAGCTGGAGCTCGCCATGGCCATGGTGACCCGAGCAAAGTTGCTGGCAGAGCAAGGCTTGGCCATCGACTGGGATGTTGTGCAAGCTGATGTAGCAGCCACGGTGCCGGATGCCTCGCCACAGACCGTGGCCGCCTGCGGGTTGTTCTGCAGGTTCTATGCAGGAGGAAGCGAAGCACCTCTGCTGAAGTTTTTGCACGACTTTTCCCTGAAATACGGGGCAAGCAAAAGATTGGGCGAGGAATTCATGTCCACGGTCGCCGGGCTCCGTTTTGCAGGGCAGGAGCGATCGCATGCTTTCGCGAGGGCTGCGATGATCGCTACGAACTTGACAGCCACAAAAGTGATAGACGGTGTGGCTCGGCTGCTGAACAAGAGCGATGTCAGCAGGCTCTGTGCGAAAGGCATGGAAGATGCTATAAAGGATTGGGAGGACCTTCTTGCTCGTGCCTGGGCTCACACTCAGGCTGTGACGGAGGCAAGTGCACGTGCCAAGGCAATTGAATGCTTCGGCCGCCTGATGGTTCGCAGCACCCTCTTCATGTGCAAGAAAGAGAAGGCGGGGCAAGAAGGCCTTGAGCTTGGGTCCTTGGCCAATTTGCTGAGTGTGTACGAACACGAGATGGGTGGCAAGAGTGCCGGTGCAACAGCGGCTGCTGCTACAAAAGATGAGCCGTGTCATGCGGCCCCTGCGACCCTGGAGAACATGCAGGACCCGGCCTTCCTGATGAAGCTGCAAGGCTTCGCAGAGGGGAAACTGTACAAAGGCAGACAGAAGTATCAGGACATGTGGCCTTGGAAGCTGGAGAAAATCAGCCAGAGCAAGGGCTCTTTCTCGCTATGTTGCCCAGTGAGCTGGGACAAAAAGGTCGAGGTGCCTCTGAGCGAGCTCAAGAAATTCTTCGAGCTGTATAGCGGAGATGCACCCGAAGTGGTGTCTGACTCCGTGGACCGACTGCCCCATAATACGGAGGCTTGCAGCCAAGAGAGACTCCGAGGAGAGTTCTTCGAGCTCTGCTGCGAGTATTTCCTGAAGTATTCGCAGTGTGAAGAGGAGTTGACCTTTTTGAAGAATCCCACGTGCTGTCTGTTGGAGGGCAAAGCCAAGACAGGCAAGCTCACGATCTTCCCCTTCACGGATCAGATTTCGAAGATTGGCTCAAAGCCGGCAGCTGGCAGTGTGGAGGTTTGGCATTCGGCCA